CAAAATCAGGTGATTCAAAGTTGTACTTATTTACAGTTATACTGTATATGAGTGCTATTGAAACGCCTGGTTATAGTGTTACCTTAAATAGATATATAAAACTTCTTGATCTTGTAAAATTGGTTGCGCATGTAATGAAGCGTAAAAGGACATATCTTGGGCAATATAACCTAAATTAAAAGAATTTTGGTAGCCCAATTTGTATTATGTAACAACAGATGTTGGGAAATTATGTAATTTTACTTACCAAGTGCTATATGTGCATAAATTGTGCGATCATCTAGGTTTAACAACAGAATAAAATTAAACATTGAAATGTGAAATTTTGCTGAAACTGCACCCTGGTGCTTACAGGGTTTACCTGACATTCCAACAGGGCAAGAGTAATTGCCGAACTTGCTATTAACAATATAAAGAATATCATTATTTTCATTTGTGCTAGGGACAATATATTCATGCTCTATATTTGTTTTTTGAATTGTATTCAGGTTAATTGTTTCCTAACCAGGGCATAAAAAACACTTCGTGATATGTAAAGCTCCTGGGTGCATATGTGCAATTCCGAGCAACCACTTCTCATAGAATCTTTCCATATTTGTAGTAATGAATTGAAATATCTGCACAGGGTTGTAAGCTTGTATTCTTGCAAAAATGATATCTTTCATAATTCCAAAACCATGTTCAATGTAATTATTAGTATTGTTGCTGTGTACAGATAAACCTGTGCAAAAGGATAAAGCCTAGGATTGTCAGCATTCCCACAAAAGCTCAAAATGCTTTTTTAATTGCAGATAACTGTAAAACCTCTGCTTAAATTCATTATAATATATATTCATATCCGAATTCAATAATGCATACAAGATTTTTTTTATTTTTTCCATAATAGGTGCCTGAACTTCCTTATCAATTTGATGCTTAGAATTGTAAATCCATCTCCAGAATGCTTGCAAGAAGTGGAATGTGCATAAAAGGCGAATTCCTATGTAAGTTTTTATAAATTAATAAAATTAGCAAAATTTTATAACAAAGTTCTACAATATAATCCAGAGATCCCATAATAATAAAAAAAAAATTTTGTTAATTTATTAATCAGACCAACATTTTCATAATGATTTGATGATTCAAGTAAATAATTAGCCTAACTTTTATTACAATAAAATTCAAGTATTATAGCTAATTCTGTAATAAGAAAAAATTCGTCACGGCATTTAGAAATAAATAATCATGCCTTATGTTAAACAAAACATTTAAGTATTACCCATAAATATAAAACTTACAAATTTCTAAGGATCTAATTTGTTGAAAGCCGCTAAACTACACTAATTACCTTTTGGCCAACAACGTTTCAAAGCGTTATACTCTGAATTTGAATTATAGTTAAAAAAACGTCAGTTCAACTTGCGGTCCATGACTATAAAATGTGTTAGGTGGGAGAATTGTTTTTAGTAAATTTAGCTAAAAAAAGAAATAAATATATTAATGTTGTTTGAAATAAAATTAAGAATAGCTTGACGTATAAATAGATTATTACTGCTCTTTCTATTGTCAATTCAAGCTCATCCGAGATAAGGAATAGTCCAAGTGGAAGTGCGCCGGCCGCACAGCTAGTGTATAAGAGTGTAATAGAAGTATTAAGTGAATCAAAAGATGCAGATGCGTCCATATAACATATTTCCCTTGATTGAAGAATTCTTTCATGTACCCGGGCCATCAAATTAGTTACAATGCATAAAATAAATGCATCTCCAGTATTCATATTATACTCTTGCAAAACTGCTTTACCCTGCCCTGATTCATTATATTCTAAAATTACAGCTTCCAAACATTTGAACATTAATTTGCCATTATGACTGCCAAGTATATTGCTACGATACTGCTGAAAAAGATTAGCAATATAACTATAATCCGGGTTGTACGCCCAATCTGCAAGAACCTCTAACAACTTTTGCTCATTTGCTGCATTAAGATAGAGATCATTTTCATGAACATGTAATGCTGAAGATGGTGAGTGCCCATCCCAGAATAAGTTAATGAATTTCTCACGAACTTCTCTTTCAACATGCCGAAAACTTAGTGAAGCTGCTGAATTAATGACATGATTATGTGTGAATACTATATTTATTTCCAATAGATAACTTAGTAAAAGTCGTCGATGTTCTAGCCGAAGATGGATGGCTGCAGTACAATTTATGTTACGTGCCCGAGATGAATGTAGATACTTTACTTCATGATGACCCTGTTTTTTTTTTACTTGATCACTATGAATACAGTGTCTAAGCTCCCAAAAAAGTATTCGTTTTTCTTTGATTTCAAATTTTTTTGTTTCTGGCATAGTCATTTTAGACTAGCTTTGAAATTCTGTAAACCATTCACATGCCCTTTCTACACTATCTACGTCTACAAATGCATCTAATTTAAAGTTTGGTACTTCAAAATTTTCCTCTGTCCAGAATGGGGAATGATCATTGAAATTTTGAATTTGGTAAGTATAATTTTTAGGAAGAACTGGCTTCAAAATCTCCGGTAGTAAGTTCCAAGACATGATCTACAAAAGA